TTCAAGTTTTTGCATTAAAATATTTTAGAATTGAGGCTACAAAACTATTAAATGAATTGATTCAATTTTAATTGGTATGAGAAATCGCTTTCTTGTCATCAAGAAATTATCCTCGTCATCAGGACAAGTACAAAAATTCTTGGCGACTTTTTTTTTTCTTAGAGAACGTGAATAATTGCTTCAATTTTTCGTATAATTTTTCTGTAACGGAGAATGATTTTTACCGAATCCGTTCGGTAAAAATCAACTTCCGTCCGTCCCTGTGGCCTTTAAACGGGTAGAAAACAGACAATCCCCTGCCGGTGTGGGAAATTTTACTAAACAGGAGGGTAATTTTTGTATTCACACGGAGAGAAATGTTCAGTTAAAATTAAGGAACTCACAACTCACCAATTACGGAATCGACTCAGAAAATTTAAGTGACGGTATCGTAATTTTTCACAACATGGAGAGAAATATTCAATAAGAATTACGTATCTTTTCTGTAATGCCGGAGCGAAATGTGGCTGTAGGAAATTTTACGGAACTGTCACGGAATTTTTCCGGAGCTTTTCGTAATTTTTATCTGAATATCTTGTGACAGTTCCGTAAAATTTCCTACAACCACATTTCGCTCCGGAATTACGGAAAAGATACGTAATTTTTATTGAATATTTCTCTCCGTGCATAGATTAATTTTTTTATCGAGAAAATCGTAAGATAGCCACTAAAAACCAGTATTTTTCGCTCAATTACTACATTTCCCTCCACGATTACCACTCGTATAGTAAAATTTATCACGATTTTTTATGTAATTTTTATCCTACTTTTCTCTCCATGTAAGCAACATCGTTGACAAGTGAGATGATCTTGGTTACGGGCTGAGTTAAAAAATTCACTTTTTGTTTTTGTGTTTTGTGTTTCCTACCTTGTTATTTTCGTCTGCTACTTCACTTTATATTCAGGCCCTCAGTTTTTGACTCTGATATTCTGACCGGCATTTTTCAACCTTCCCTTTTTCACCCTTATATTACACTTGAGAGCGCTTGGTACAACCTGGGCTGATACAAAATAATCATCCTCGAATTGAAACACCCATCCTCCACTCGAGTATAAAATATACTTGAATCAAGAATATTTTATTCTTGAATCCGGTTCATGCATATTTTATTCCAGACATCGGCATAATCATAATTTTTAATTACAGTTAAATTTTGAATAAGTCAGTTGTTAATATTATTCATCAATTTTCAGATTATTAAATTAACCACCAAGTTAAATATTCAAATTTCGTATTATTTTCTTAACCAATAATTGAGACATTTAAATTACCAATTATTACATCCATAGCGAAGTGGTCAAACGGTTTAAGTCAATTTTGGCTATTGGCCAGTTTTCAATGAATATCTCAAAATTTGAGGAAGATAGCAAAATTTTTCTCATAACCTTTTTAGTAGCACTCAATTCGCTCTATAAAAAAGTTTTGTTTGTTTGGTGAGGAACTAGGTTTAGGGTGGATGTGGGAGAAAAATGTGGAGGGAGATGCTGGAAAATTAATGATGGCACTGATTATAAAAATACCACTATTTATTGTGGGATCGAACCAAGTCGTTAATTCTCTACACACTCTTTGGTATTTGATTGTCACTGTTGATAGTCTTATTTCACTGATAATTATCTTTTAATTTAATACTGTTGAATCACTCAATTTAGTTGACTTTAGACTGACAAAACTGAGGTGATGTACTGAACGAAACGTTGATGTTACAAAAGACTGGTGATGTACTGAGCTAGGTGAGGTTCAAAATGCTACTGTACTCGGTGAGGTGCGATGTAAGACTAAATTTGGAGGTTTTCACGATCGTCTGACCGCTCAACCGAACGTTCCCGATGGTGCTCGAGTTGAATGTTTTGGAATTTTAGTTGCGTTTCTAACAAGGTTATTATGAAAATTTCGCCATCTCCCTTAAATTCGGAAATATTTCTGGAAAACTCAACTAAGGACTGAATTGACTTGAACCGTTTGACCTCTTCGCTACGTATATTATTTCTCGAATTTCGATAACGATAAGTTTTTTTATTTTTTTATTTTTTCTATTTCATTGGTTTTATCGAAGTAATTCTCGATTTGAAACCCCTCCTCTAGCCTGCCGCCCCTCCTTTCTTTTCCTCTCATTGTTATCTGCGGTATCATGGCCGTCTTACTCTTAGCTGTGCCCCATTCGAGCTAGGACTGCACGGGAAACCATGTAAAACCCCAGTCGCACAGCCGGCCGATTGTGCAGTGCCCTAATATATCCATCTGTCACACTGACCAGATGGAGATACTAGGCCGCTACACCATACCCGAGTGGAAATTTCTTCAGGCCCACCTGAAGCACGATCAGAACTTGATCAGGTTTTTGTAAGGTTCAACTGATCCGGTGATTCCTGATGAGAACCTGACCAAGTCCTGATCCAGCAGATCGAATCCGAAAAACTGCACGATCATTCAGATCAAATTCTGATCAGGTAGACCCCAATTTGATCAAATTCGAATTTGATGTCCTTGATCGGCATTTGAAAGGGGTCAATTGAAGAGAAAATGATCAGATTCAGATCCGCTCCACCTGACATTAATTTTAATAAGTTTTTCGGATAATTTAATTAACTATTATTATACTATTCAAATTAAGTTTTATCAACCATTATCAATAATAATTTTCAATCTTTAAAAAGGATCACTATACTATAATTAAAATAAATTAAATTAAATTAAATCAATTTAATGAATTCAATTTAATTAATCAACTTAATTAATAGCCAGCCCTTCTCAAATGTACAAAAGGGAGGGATGATGATGCCGTACATACGTATTAGAGGAGTATCAAACTTACACGCAAATGATCTTGAAAAAAAAATCATCAAATGGCTATTTATTTATTAGTGTTATTGTTATTATCATTAATGAAATAAATAAAAATTTAATTGAACATATTTAATCTCTGAGAATACACACGCACATCCGCGAGATCAGGAATAATCGTAAATTCAACGAATACCCCGATACAAATCATATAGGCAATGTACAGTTTACTCAATAGAACTAGCACGATAGCGTAGTGGTTAGGCCATAGGATTAGTAATCATAGGGTTTCCGGTTCGATCCCCAGCATCGGTAAAAAAATAATAAGCTTTTTCAGAGGTAATAACAGTAGAGATTCATTTCATTAAGAGAGGCGGCCTACGGTGAAAGAATTGAATTATCTTTTGTTTTGGATTAATTATCATTGATAATTGTTATTGATACTGACAGACAGGTCATCCGGTTTTCATACAGTTGACTTGATCAAGTTCGGATCCATTCGTCCTGATCAAATCCGGATTGGTCAGAGGCGTAACATGTCTGATCAAGACCGGATCCGTCAACTTGATCAATACCTGATCAGTGCTCAGGTTTAACCTGATCCAAACTTGATCAAGACCTGACCGGAATTTCCACTCGGTGTGGTGTTCCTAAGCGGTCACCCATCCAAGTACTAACCCAGCTCAACGCTGCTTCGCTTGGATGTCCGCCGGAGCCACACCTCAGCCACCCAATCATTGCAGTCAGTGATGACGACAAGTAAATCTTAATTATTGTGAGGTGCAATCTGCCTTTCTATACTTGATTCTGGTACAAAATATACTCAATTCAAGTATATTTTTTCATGTGCAGGAGATTGTAAAAATGTACTGTTTCCCAATATTAATTTTCTCAGGAAAACAAAAAACAACAAAATAGATGATGTATCCACATTCCTTGTTGGCCTTATTTTTAAGATAACCCACGACAATTCGTTGTTCACAAGTTGGTAATTGCACAGCAGGTTGCTCTAGCCCTGTAAAATAACGCTACGCAAATGCTAAAACTTGGAAAGGACGTGTTGCACAAAGTTTGTGCAACACTCCTCCTGATTACACCTACACCCTTGGTTTGTATGCGGATGAGTTTTCATCCGCACACAACTGACTATTCCTCTATTTGTCAGTCATACAGTCTCGCCATACCCCACGATCCGGGCAGAGTCAAGCCCCTGGTAAAACCCTCTCAGTGTTTCCCAGTTACTTGTTCTGTCCTCGGTCGGGCACAGAATCTAATTAGAGACGAGTAACATGCGAATCCCACTGGCACTTCATTTACTCTCTACCACCTGCCATTCGTTCACCTCATCGATACGTTAATTAAACGTCCTTTTTCATTCGGTGATTGAATCATCAAAAAACTGGTTTTCCCTTCTGCTCCCAGTGCCCGTCCCGGACACCTCGTCCAGTGTGGCAAATAAAATCTCTCATTTTAGCCCAATTCAGGGGATATTTCAAATGTTTTTTTCCGGAATAAAAAAGAATAAAAAAGGTGCCTCAATCGATTCTACCAGAATCGGCTCGCTTGGGCTTGATACGACCCCTGAAAGACCATCCAACGAATATTCTTTTGTCATGAAGTGTAACACGGGCGATGAATAAAACGATAGTTAAAAGAGAAGTGAAATAGGAAGAGGCTCAGTGGGCTTACGGATGAGGCGAGGAAGAGGAGTAAAAAAAAAAATGAGAGGATAGTCGGCCGCGTTCATCCCCGGGGCGAACCGACGGAAGAGATCGAGCATGCTTTATCCCGTGGCTCTCGACCCTTTTCAATTTTCCACGGGGTATATCCCTCTCGGAGAGGTAGGACAGAGAGGAAAATATGAGAGGGAGACAGCAGCAGCCGCAGAGGGTGCTCGGTGCTCGGAGTGAAAGGGGCCGATCGAGTAAGGGAATAGGTTTTCTTTTCTCTCCTCTCCTCCATGAGTCCCCAGCTGTGCAAAAGGAGAAACGCCACCGTTGAGGGGTGAGCGACGGGTTTGGCATTAAGCGAGATTAAAATTCTAAATAATTGAATTTTCTCCAACCCGCAATTTATAAATGAATGCCACAGCGTAATTCATTAATTTTCCATTGTAGCATATTGCGCTGATCTGAAGGTGAAGTAATTTTTCATTTGTATTAATTTTCCCTTTTAGAGAAGGAGGGAAGTGAAGAGGGCGCGAATGAAAGAGGATAATTAGAGTACTAGTGTACAGTGAATGGATTTGTCGGTACCATGTTCAGGTTCAAGAGTAGCCAGCCAAACGCCGTTGGGAGTAATCCAATATGGGAAGAATTTGTAGCATCAAAGCAAGCACCAAGCGCCACCGCGGGACCGGAACACGTCTGGAGGATCTTTGATGCATACAGAAAGAGCGACGGACAGGTTGGCAGCATCATAAGAACATTTCCACTTTGACGATGATAAAGTTCTTCGTGAAGCCATTTTTATTGCCTTCCATTCAGAATGAAATAATGAAAATAATGTTAATTGCAGGAGGCATCAGTATTTCTTTTTGAAAAACGCTCAGTGGAAAAATTTCATAAACCGAAGCACAAGGAGCACGTTGCAGACATTCTCCGAAGATGTCCAAAAAACCTCGAGGAGTTCAGGCATCCAAAGTTACTCCAAGTATGAATTAAAAGTGCTCCCTCGTTCCGAGATATGTCCATTATATTTCAATTATTCTTAATGGCCCCAGGTAATTCATCCCGTGAAGGAATGCTCGGAAACTCTGGCATTTGCCACTGAACCAGTGCTGGGCAGCCTCGCTAATGTTTTGGCTTACGTTGAACAGCAGGCCGCTGTGGCCGCAGCTAATTCTGCAAATTCCTCATCAGCTCACCCCAATGCAAACTACCACACTGGCCAAAATCCCCATCAAAATCCACCGGGACATCGACCAGTTCTCGTTAAGAAATACGAGATGCATGCCATAGAAATAAAATACGGTCTATTGCAGGTAATTCTCCTTCATCTTACACATGCACACCTTTATTCATAAATAATTCAGTTGGAGTCACACGCCAACTCCTCCTCTTTTCCTCCTGGAATAGCTCCTTGAAGTTGACGCTCTTTTCCCCTTCCATCTCCCTTCTTTCTCATTTTTATTTCTTACTCTCTATCTACTCTTCTTTACCTCTGCACTTTTACCCTCACAATTTTATGACCTATATTTTTGTATTTTATCACCGTTGACATTCAACTTGAGAATACTGAATTTCAGATCACTGAGGCCCTCTCTTTTCTCCACTGCAGTTGCAAGGTCATGCACAGGAACGTCTGTCCAAGCAGTATTATTATAACAAAGAAGGGAACGTGGAAATTGTGTGGCCTCGAATTCATTGGTAAGTTTTAACCATCGTGAAGAATAATAATGGGTGTTGAAACAGAAATAAATAAATTTTTTTCTCTGCTCTACCCTCTTTCAAACTTGATTTAACGAAGAACGAACAACTAATGAGAGCGGCCTAGAACCCGTATCCTGCAACTCGTGGACCCACAAAGTTTCCAAGATCGTTCAGCCGAACCTCGATTATATTGGTAAAATATTCACCCCTTTCTCACCAGTTGCGTCACGAAATAGAAATATCGAATTCAAATACACACTCTAGTATTCATGGTATATTTTTATAGCCCCGGAAATTCAACAGAACAAGGTATGCAACGTCCTGAGTGATATGTTCAGTCTTGGAATGATAATGGCAGCAATTTACAACGACGGAAAGTCCCTTATTCAAGCGAATCACAGTACTTCTGATTACGCTAAGCAGGTTGCAAATGTAAGTTTCATTTGATCTGGGATATGAACAAGACCGAGAGAAATTATTCCGAATGTAATTTTCTACTTCATGTTTTAGCTGCCTGAACAAGTAGACAAAGTACTTAGCAGAGTGCCCTTACCCCTTCACGAGGCCGTCTCAAGGCTGCTTTATAAAGACCCCGAGGCGCGACCCATCGCCAAGCATCTCTCTCTTATCAAATACTTTAGGTAAACAAAGAATAGAACAAATGGGAAATTGCTCTTGTATTGCATATAGTACAGTCATTTTTGCTAATAAATTGGCAATATGCTTCCGAATGGCTGTTTTGCACATCATTTCCTTCCATCATGTATAAGTCACTGTTTATTCCATTTTATTAAATTGAACAAGATTTATTTTTAACTAATTTTATCGGGTTTTCAACTTAGTTGAATGTTATCATCATTATTCTTATTTTCCCTTCCTTCTATACAACCGATTCAGTAGCGAAGCGGCAAACTGGGTCAAGTCGATTTTTATTGTTGACCAGTTTTTGACGAATAACTCGCAATCTAAAAGAGATCGAACAATTTTTGTCATGACCTTTTTTGTAGAACCAATTGAGGGTTATAAAAAAGGTCATGAGAAGAATTTTGCTATCTCTCTTAGATTCCGAGATATTCATAAAAAATTGGCCAAAAGTCAAAATCGACGTGACCCGTTTTACTGCTTCGCTACTGGATTGTCTTTTTTACGAGTTTATCCCTCCCCTGAGCCCTTCGATAAAATGTTAACCCTAGATCGGCCACCATGTGAGGGGAAACTCCGCCGTGCGTCGTTTTTCTTCAATTGGAATTGACTGGCTAACCGGAAAAATTAAAAAAAATTTGACTTTATCAATTGAAGTGTCTAAAGAACTATAGTAGTTTGTAGAATAACATATTTCCCTAAATTCGTGAAAAAACAGATTATTTCGAACAGATGAATTATTTGTTTCCATGTGAACCAGCTCTCCACCGAACGTAGTTGGTCGCACGGTGAGAGAATCCCCGCCCCCGTGTGATTTACGATTTCGATTTTAAAAAAGTTGAACGAAAAAAATTTATTCCACGTTCACAGGTAATTTTGAACTTTCAATGAATAGGAAATGGGGGTATGGAAGCGAAATAGTTGTCAGATAATCCAAGAACTCAATTTCAAAAAGTGCAAAATTATGAAGTTTTGAGGTTAAACATGGGGATGTTCAGCGAGTCGAGTTTTTAGAAGATTTTAATAATTCATTTGTGCAAATCTGGACTGAAAAAAAGATCTTGATGTTGATGCATATATTTGAAAGTAGGAGTACAAATTTTTATGGATTTTTCATTGACAAAGTTTTCGTGTGAAACGAAAAAATAAAAAATAAAACAGCGGGGATTCTCTCATTATGCGACCACTTAAGGGTTAAATGAAATTGCGCATCACGCGACGTTGCCGGAAACTCGCTAAACGTGCCCGAGCAGTTAGAGTGAATTCGGCAACGCTAGAGCCTAAATAAGACGGCGGGGAATCCCCGCGGAGTAGCCCAGAGTCGCAGGGTCCCGTTGGTGACCAGTCTAGGAGTAAATTGAATACGATTTCTTTTTAACTAATTTTGTCAGATTTTCAACTTAATTGAATCTTATCATCACCATTATTCTTATTATCCCTTTTTTCTATACAACTGCCTTTCGATAAAATGTTAACCCTAGATTGGTCACCATATGAGGGAAACCCCGCCACGCGTCGTTTTTGTTAATTGCAATTAACTGGCTAACCGGAAAAATTCCAAAAAAATTGTCTAAAGAATTATAGTCATTTTTAGAATAACATATTTCCCGAAATTTCTAAAGAAAACAAATATTTCAAACAGATGAATTGTTTTTTGCCGTGTTAAATGAAATTGCCCATCACGCGACGTTTCCGGAAACTCGCTAAACGCGCCCGGGCACAGTAGAGTGAATTCGGCAACGCTAGAGCCTAAATAACACGGCGGGGAATCCCCGCGGAGGTGACCACAGTCGCAGGGTCGCGTTTGGTGACCAGACTAAGGTTAATAGAAAAATTCTATCTATACATACTTGATTGAATTACTCTCGAGTTCCCTTCAACTTAATTACCTTGTTTGTTATTTATGGAAAAAGTTTTATCGCTATTTAAAGGCAATGACCCTTACTCATATTTTTATATAGCACAAAAATTTTCTTATATGTACTATCGTAAAAAGCCAAATAGGCTATCTGTGGCTTTAAATAAATAAATAAATACTTGATTGAATTTCAAACATCCCATTTGCAGAAACTATTGGACAGCTCACTTTCAGGGAAATTCATGAAAAATTCGAAATTTTCACCAATCATCATAAAAATCTAATCAACCAATATAGTTATCGTAATCATCTTTTAATTTCGACTCAATGGCATTAAAACAAACATTTTAAGCTATGATTGAACTTATTTGAAGCATGATATTCAAAGATATCCCCGGAAGTCTAATTTTCAAAAAATACAAAATTTTTGAAAATAAATCAACAAACGAATATCCGCCATCGCCTCCCTTTTTGGACTCGGTCAAAAGAACATCCAAACAAATGTTCTAAGCCACAATTCAATCAATTCAGAAAATTTTTTTAGTTTATCGTGGGACAAGCGATTTTCGAAAAAATTCGAAAATTTAAAAAACTAATCGATGACCGAAGTTTTAATTAATGTCGATGAATAAGGCTCAATAATACCTACATTTGAGAAAAAACAATGATTTAATTCCATGGATTCACTAGCGAAGAACTGAAGGAAAAGTTTCCCACACACGTATGAAAAAATCAATAGAAAACATAGCCAATTCGCTAGAAAATTGTGTTGGAATTCTGTAGGAATTCTATGGGGTATCTGTAGGATTCCTAGTGGAATTCTATTTAAAAATTGGACTTGTTTCTTGCGCTGATTCTATTGGATATTTGAAATGAAAAAATCAATAGATTTCGAATTTCTGTTTGAATTTGTCTCGTGAGATTTTTTCTACAAGAATGTTTGGGCATCAATTTTCGAAGTTTTTTCCACTCGGATTCTGTAATGCAAAACAAAGTAAAATACAGCGAAAAAAAACTTGGAAATTTTGTGCCCAATAATTCTAATAGAAAAAATCGAACAGAAGTTTAAAATCTATTGACTTTTTATTAACGAATATTCAATGGAATCAGCGCAAAAAACAAATAGAACTTTTCTATAGAATTCCAGTAGGAATTCTATAGAAACTCCATAGAATTCCAATAGAATTTTCTCTCGAATTCGCTATTTTTTCTACTGAATTTTTTCATGCGTGTCAATAAACACGTGCGTACGGACACGATCTAAAAATTGCATTTTCGAACTTTTTTGACTATAAGGGCTCGATATAACAAAAAAATCCGAAACTTAAATTCAAACGACTACAATGCTTCCATTCGGAAGCAAAAAAAAATAAAAGCGAGATTAAGAGAATGAAAAGTTACAGAGTGTACAGAATTGAAAGCGTGGAAGTAACTCAATTTGACACTCATTTTCAGTGATCCATCCGTTCACGCGCTCCAGTTTCTCGACGTGATAAACATGAAAGACCCGAATCAAAAATCTCACTTCTACAGAAATACCCTGAAGGAAGTACTTCCATTTATACCACGGGTAAGACATCCATTACGCAGGGGATGAATGAAAAAGAAATAAGAAGGGACGAGAGTGAATGATGCGATGTGAAAAATTCCTTTTCTAGAAATTGTGGTACCAGCACATCTGGCCTTATCTCCAAGCTGAGTCTAAATCCCAGGAGGTATTTGCATCGGTGCTGCAGCCAATGCTATTTATCATACAACAGAGTCCCCCCGAGGATTACCAAAACATCATATTACCTTCATTCAGAGAATTATTCTCAACACCAAGATCAATCCAGGGTACAGTTGTACTATTAGAAAATCTTCACGTTGTTTTTGAAAAAACACCCCCAGACGTTATACGCGGAGAAATGCTACCAATGCTGTACTCTTCATTTGAAAGCCCCAATATTCAGATACAAGGGGCTGCATTCAAGGCTGTTACGAAGGTCAGTGAATACCTCGAGGACGCAACACTGAGAAAAATTGTTCTACCAAAATTAATGAATGCATTTGAGAATAGTTCAACTGACTCGCGAATTCTGACGAGTTGTCTCTCAAGGATTCTCGAGACACTTGATACCCAGCAAATTGTTGATGAAGTTTATCCATTACTCTGGGATATCAAGCTACAGCAGCCTGACGCCATAGCACGGGTTGTAAGTAAGTGCAGGTGTTCAAATATTTATTATACTGAAAATTTTAAACAATAGGTCAACAGTGAATTTATGAACTGTTTTGTTATGAATATCGTTGTAGCAATTTATAGACTCTTGTTGAGCAACAAGAAGTTTGGACTTACGATAAACATAATAGCAACCAAGGTGATGCCACTCCTACTCCCAGCAACAGTTAATCCGTCCCTTAATCTCGAGCAATTCCAAACGCTGATTGAACTCCTTCAAGGCATGCTCAGTCGCATCGAAAGGTAGGCTTATTGACATTTGCACTAATTTCCTCAAACATAAATGGCCCTTGGGGGTCAATTGTGTCACGCGTTGATTCTATAATTAATTACCGAAATTTGCATTTTCAATTACGTTAATTATTACAGTACTCAAACGAACAAGCTGAAGCTCTCCCTCTCCAGTCCCGAGCGACATCGACCACTCAGGCATCAGTTCAGCACCGAAAACATGCATGTGCCACCCTTCAATATACCCGGGTTGAGGATCGAGCAGAGGAAAACATCATCAGCGGAGGACATGGCCAGAAAGAATTCCATAGGTACTTTGACACGATCGCAAACAAAATGAGACCAATTAAACATGCTAATGAGTCAATTCTCATTTCACTTATGAAACAATTCAATAGACAAACTTAACGAATTCGCTACAAAATTATATAAGAATTAATTAAATTAAAATTATATTAGAATTCTGTAGAAATTCCGTTGGATTTCTATTCAAATTCTAGGGAATTTTCGTCAAAATTCTTTGTGTTTTTTGCGCTGATTCTGTGAGATTTTTATAGAAAAAAGTCAATACTTGGGCATGAATTTTCTAAGTTTTTTTCACTCGGATCCTGAAATGGAAAACAAAACAAAATATAGCGGAAAAAATCTTTTAATAGAAAAAATTTTAAGGGTATATGTCGGTGAAATTAAAAACTCTTCACTGGGCCTCGGGATCCATTGAACAGTTTGTGATATATGACGGAATATGAGAATAACTAGGAAAAATCGCGACCCGATCGATTTTGCCCCGTATAACCACGAAACTTCATTTTTTGTTATTTTTACCTTCAAAATGGTCCTTGCGCTGTAATTTTCATACGATTTTAGTTTTTTTTTAATGTTCGTTACACTTTAAGGTACTTCCGCAGTAAGTATACTTGGTGAAAATTTCGAAATGGTATAAAGACGCAATATTTGAATCATATGTTGTTGACCACATTAAAGAGATATTCCCAAAATTTCAAGTCCCTGGTCCCCCCCATTTTTGAGATATGCATCGCCAAACATTCAATTTTTGTGTTTTTTCCATTTTTGACGATGTATATCTCGAAAATGGGGTGGACAAGGTACTTGAAATTTTGGGAATAGTTTTTTAATGTGCTCAATAATATATGATCTAAATATTGCGTCTTTCTACCATTTCGAAATTTTCACCAAGTATACTTACTGCGGAAGTTCCTTAAAGAATAAAGTTAAGCATCCACTTTACTTTATTCGCAATAGCTCATGAATAAATGAATTTTGAACTTCATAAATTGTTCTCGTCTCTAGAGTAGGAATTAAAATTGATTGTTTTTAGTAATTGAATATTGTAATCATGCGAAATCTAATTTTTATGAACACAAAAATTGCAGATTGAAGCGAAAAGGCGGGTTCAAAAGAAAATTTATGAAATTCAAAATTCATTTATTCGTGATCTATTGCGAATAAAGTAAAATGGATATTTAACTTTATGCTTTGGAGTGTAACGAGCATTTAAAAAAAAGCTAAAATCGTATGAAAATTACGGCGCAAGGAGCATTTTGAAGGTAACAACAGGAAAAAATGAAGTTTTTCGTGGTTATACGGGGTAAAATCGATTGGGTCCGCGATTTTCCTTAGTTATTTCCATATTTCATCATATATTACGAACTGTTCAATGGGTCCCGAGGGCCAGTGAAGATATTTTAATTTTACTGTCGTATACCCTTAATAGAAAAATCGAAATCTATTGACTATTTCCTATCTGCGCAAAAAGCAAATAGAATTTTCCGGAGAATTTCCTACAATTTTAACCCCTCACGAACACGGCCCTTTTGTTTCCAAGCATGGAGTACGCTCAATCCAACTAAAATGTAATGCCTTCTAATCGACGGAAAATTATGAAACCGATATGTAATTGAAGCTACAGTATTCCTCTTTTCGTGGTTCTTGGTTTGTTTGAGTTGAATTCCATAGGTTTGGAAATAATAAATTTCAAAGAGAGTCATTCATTCTCTCATGGCATCGACCCCATGGCATGGCATAGACCCCGTACGTGAGGGGTTAATAGAATTCCCATCGAATTTCTAGAGAATTTCAATAGAATTTTCTAGCGAATTCGCTAAGGTTTTCTATTAAATTTTTCCTCGCGTATTATCATTGTTCCATGGTTCTTCCTCCAGGCTCAATGTCGATGACAGCATCAGCGGAAAACATGACGCAGCGCAAGAACTCCATGACCAATATGATCTCAAATTGGTGGTACTCGTCATCGTCGTCGGCCAGAGACGGCACCTTCCTGAGTGTCGGCAGTGCCTTCCCCAGTCGTCGACTGTCCGACAATACTCTAATGACACCGAAGATCCGCATTGCACCATCCTGCTCCAGTTCCCCAGGAGGTACCCCGGGTGGTGGCCTGCCAATTAGACGTCACTCTAGTACAGGACCACAGGAACGTCGTGGCTCCAACGTCAATCTGTCACCTCCGACTGTAAGTTTAAATTGTTATAATGGATTCACCAGTTAAAGGGGGGATTACCTCGGGAATAGTATATTTACGGCCTGTCGTTATGGGATTTTTTACTCGTGGGGAGTTGGTGGGTGGAGCCGCAGGCGAGGCCTGCCAACCCCACGAATATAAAAAGTCCATAACGACAGCCCGGACAACATTTTTCATTGTACGGTTCGTAAATGGCGTTTGACAGACACGAAATGACATTGTGAATAATACAATAGTACATAATCGAATAGTACATTAGAGGGCAAGGGCACAACTTTCGTTTTCAACACTTGCACGGAGAGAAATATTCAATAAAAATTACGTATCTTTTCCGTAATTCCGGAGCGAAATGTGGTTGTAAGAAATTTTACGGAACTGTCACGGAATTTTTTCAGAGCGTTGCGTTATTTTTATCTGAATCTTCTGGCAAAGTTACGATACCGTCACTTAAATTTTCTGAGTCGATTCTGTAATCGGTGAGCGAGCTGTGAGTTCCGTAATTTTTACTGAACATTTCTCTCCGTGTGTGCATTAGAGTACAAAGGCAAAATTTCGTTTAAACTTCGTTTTCAACGAATGTGAGTACTGACCTCGCCTTTGGCTCGGTCTGTAAACTTTACATTCGTTAAAAACGAAGTTTATGTCTGAATGATCTATAATATTTTATGTCACATCGTGCAAAAGTCGAATTTGAAGCACGCCGCGCGAAGCTCTTCGTGTCCGTCAAACACTGTTTACGTACATTGTGAAGACAAATTATGTTCGTCAGTCGAACGAAAACCACTTTTCCGACTCGTGTGATTGCATTCCTCGGCTTCGCCTCGGTCTGCAATCCTGACACTCGTCAACTACTTTTTTTCACTAGTATCGTAATATACGATTGGTACTGGCCCTTCCCCAAACTCGCAAACGCGAATATCATTACGGAAAAATATCATTCACGACTAGTGCTATGAGTTTTTTTTACTCACGTGGTTGGCCAGTCCTTGCCTTCGGCTCGGATGCCAACACCACGCGATTAAAAAACCCCATGGCACTCGCCCTGAAATATACTATTTTGACACTGCTGCGACGTTCACCTTGTGCCGAAAAGCGCGTTTCCATTTACTAGTAAACAAAAAGTAAACAAAAAGTTTTTTCGTCTACTTGTAAACGAACAAAATACAGTTCGGCCACGCGCCGAACGTAACTTCACTGTCAAAAAATATTATTCGACACATGTGAGAAGGGAATTTTTAGCTTGTGTGAGTGGCCGCCAACTTCACATTTGTGAAAATTCTGTTTCACTCGTATCGAAATATACTATGATGATGCAAGTGAAAAAAGGGCACGTTTTTTCCCGTTTTGCAAAAAAAACGTTTTTACACGTTTTGCTGGCAAAGAACCACTTTCTTCCCACCACTAGAACAGGGCGCGCGCGTATTGTTTTCCACGGGTGGCAGAATAGTAAAACCTTAGCGATTCTCACTTTCATTAATTTTTATCTCAATAATAATGCGGGAAAAATGAATCATTTCAACAAAGTTTTTCACAATGAGAATTTAATTGTTGAATAATTTTTTTGGAATCGTCATAATCCTCATCTTCTTCATTTCTCTTCTGCTTTTTGTGGTTTTTTATTTTTAGGGATGTAGTATGTACTATATACATATATACTGTCGTATATATTATTTATAGAAATATATGTGGACGTCCGCATGAAAAGGGATCACTTTGGCACTATTGGAGTTATGTATATTCCCATAATCTTGATCTGATTCTGAACATTTAGAGCCCAGAATAAACTTGATAGCGTAAAGAGTGACGACGCTAAAGTAGATCGAAAAAATAATTTAACATGCGTTTAAATGGGAGTTGGCAAGAGAAAGACGTAAATATCTCGGAAACTAGAATCGACAAAGTGGTCCCTTTTCATGCGGACGTCCACGTATATTTTTTACATTAAAAAAAATTACAGTATTTATAATATTTTCCTTTTATTATTCCATTTCACCGTATACCTTTCCGGTTTATACGGTTTCTTATTCCTTCATACCGTGTTTCCGCATATTTGTTTTTCCCAAAATGCTCTTTCCAGTTTTTCCAAATAATGTTTCTTTCCTGAGGTGTTCTCGCGCGGTCACCCATCCATCTAGTGACCACGCTCAACGCTGCTTAGCTTCCCAATGCTAAGCCTGCCCACCACCGCAGTGCGCTAGCCCCGTAGGGCCAATTACAGTATTTATATTAACAATTTATATATATAATTTTACAATATAAATAATTTTCAACATATAATAAAATATGCAAAATTTAGAATACAACAAAAAATATAACAATACTGAATTAGCGGAATAGAGGCTTCAAAAAACGTTGCACTGGATTTTTAAAAAATGGAACATCATAAAATATCGTACGATACATATGTATTTTCTGTACTGCTTCTCACGATTTCTCGTCTGGGAATTGGTATTGCATACTTCCCAAAGCCGAAAACTTGAAAATTACTACAAAAAAATCTTGTTCCGGGCTGCTGCGATGGGGTTTTTTTACTCGCGTGGTTGGTCATTCCTTGCCTTCGGCTCGGACGCCAACGCCACGCGAGTAAAAAACCCCATCGCAGCAGCCCGGAAAAATACTATTTCTGAAAAGCGTGATTGCAGGTCTCCCCTTTGGATCAGCCTGTAACCATCACACTTTTCAACAACTACTTTTTTTCACTAGTATCGTAATATAGCATTTCCCGGGGTGAACCACCCCTCAGATTCATTTGATTCATTCATTTCATTTTCATTAATCCCATTTCAATTCCCACAAAACTTTAAACAAAAGTCTTTCGCTATCGCCTAGGGTGGAATGCCAACGACCAGCAGCAGTGTACCCTACCTCCTCAGCTCAAGCATGACAAGTATCCGAAATTCCCGAAGACCATCAGTCTCATCGACGACGTCACAGCAGGGATCTGGCCTACTCCAGCAATTTGGCACCGGCATGGTAAGACAACTACCCCCCATCTGCCTCAACCTCAATGGGCTACCACCTCAACTATCACCACCACCACCACAACTACCACATCTACCAATACCACCACTTTCTCCATCAATCCAGCCACTGGGACAGCCTTCCCACTGACCCTTGGTTAAGATGTAAGAATCTATTTTTTTTATTCTTTTTATTATTTTCTTCTCTCAAGATCCTTGTGTCCTCGTTTTGTCATTTTTTTAAATTATTCCAATGTACGAGCATTATTTGCAAGGTATTGTTTACCACAAAATCTCAAGCAAATGGAATGCATAATTGTTATATTTCTTTGGAAAAAAATAATTCGATATATTCCTTTTGTTGTCTATCGCGATTCTCGAATTTCGGGTATTTTTTCGGTTACAGTGCCAACTTTTCTCCGGTCGTTCTTAAACCAAGTGTGGCTCTGTGGATATTGCGGTGTTGGTGGGGAATTAAACGAGCGTGCTTTACTCTCATCATACCGCCACACATGTCATCATTATCAAACAAAAATTTACCAAAATTAAGTAAAAAACTATGCAACAAACTATCGTATGCAAAGAAAAAAGTGTACGATATTATAATCGGCACATTGAATCTCCTCTGCGTATCTACGTTGCAGAGTCAACGGGCTAATTGGGATTACTATCACCCTGATGATGATACGTCAACGAATCCAGTATCAATCGTCGTTACAATCGACGGACCATCAACGATCGAACAGATGCGGGCGCAATAATATTAATTTACCATTATCTTTTATTTCAGTAATTTTAGTTTCTCTAATTGTATCTTGTACATACGTTTTATTTACATCTCAAAGAATAGGCCTCGAGTATTTTTATTTAATTTTATAAAAAGAGTAATACGGTGCTGCGCGCCTCATTATTTTAAGATTTAATGAATGAAAGAAACGAAAGCGAAGAAAGTACATTTAAAAATCCAGACCAAATGAAGAACCGAGGAGGCGTGCTTTTAAGGGACGATAAAAGATAATTAAATCTCGGTTTTTAGAGAAGAATATAACATGTGAAACGCCACACACATATTCTCGGCCTCGTCCAAAGATATTTTTTGTGAATGATAAATGTAGGTAAGATACCGTAGTATTTACTCGGAAAACTGCCGGGGCAAGCACTCTGGCAATCCACTGAGAATCCAAATAATTGAAAACAAAAAAATTGTGAAGAAAAATCCTACAAATCTAAAACGAAAAAGGCCAGCCTCTTGAAATAACATCTTGTCTCGTCTTGTCTCGATGTGAATCGTCAATTTATGTAACTTTCAATTAAAACTGCATTAACAATCACTATTTATTAAGATTAGATTTTGTACTAGCGAAGATCGTGCACAAATCAAATCGATGGCTGATAAACCGAGTGAGTTTAAAAGATAAATAAATCCATTTTCCCTGAGGATAAAACTTAACATCGAACGATCGCCGGTGGTGAACGATCTGAATTTTTAGCTGATGATCCAGGTAATTTTTTGCCACATTTTAGCCACTTAATTGAAGACAGAAAAAATGTCACAATCATAATTTCAATCTATTTACCTACTACGTATAAAAAATTGCACACATTACTATACAAATTCTCAAAACAAAGAACAAACATATTCAGTTAAAGAAGCGTGTCGTTATATGTGTAAAATTCCTCTTCACTGTGATACTCTATAATCTGTCGTATACGTGAAAGAATAAAAGTGAGAGAAGGAAAACGAGGGATGAAAAGAAGGGATGAGAAATAAAAAAGAGCACAAACAAGATTGGTGTTCCACGTCATCGCGTATGGTTCGAGTTCTTCAGTCGATGCTTCTGCACCTTACTCCACTGGCCTTTTACTTCGATCAATCAATCATACGTAACACAAAAGAGAAACAAATCAAAGTGCAAGGAAAACTGTGAAGATGATTACGAATGGTTACAGATGAGAAGAAAATATATGAAGAATAAAAAAAATCACGCGCATATAATGAGGTCATTTGTTGACCGATTTTTGTACCTGGAATTCATAAATAGAGACAATTTATTTATCTACTGGTATTAAAAGGGAAGAAAAAACCACTGTATTATAGTCGATGGCATTTCAATTTTTCGCACTCCGAGAATTTTAAAGGCAATTAATAAACGTCGATAAATCATTGAAAACTCCAGACATCAAATATATATATTATTAAAGGAAAAAAGGTGCAGGTCGCCGTCTATTTAATACACGATCGTTTCATCGAAAAAATTAAGGAATAAAATAAAATGAAGAGGTACAGTTTGTGTGTACAACGGGGAAAGTGAGCATAAGATAATCATCAAATTAATCAGAGTTACAAACTTAATTAGCCATAATTGCGTAAAATGATGAAAATCTAACAGAAAAAAAAATATTCCGTAAATTTTTTGTGTCTCTATTTTAAGACTACGAAATTAAGTGTCCTTAAAATTTAAGCGATCAAAATTGATTAATGAATTAATGACAAATCAATACTAGAGCGTTTGGAGTCGATCATGAAGGACTGATGAACAATTGAAAGTTTAAATGGGAGAATGAATTAGTGACAATCAGCGACAATCAATCGAATGAAACGTGAAAATTATAATGATCGATGTACCAAACGCTTTGAGAAGTACAATCGTCGTTTTGTCCCCCTAAATTCAGCACCAAATGTGTGTACTTTAGGCATCAGACAATCGAATAATACATGTGAACCCGCCCGTTCTCCAATAAATATTATATTAAGCCGATGAGAAGAAATGGAATGGGAATCACAATCAAACGAAAGAGAAGTTGAGGGAAATGTTGACACTCTGTTAGTTGAATCGATATTTTAATTCAGTCAAACTTTAAAGAGAAGAACAATCTATTAAAATGAATTTTAAAAAATACTCAAGAAAAGGAGTGCCAATGTAATATTTGAGGGATCGTAAATTTTCGACTTCTCGCAAGTGTGTTTAAGGCACCATTATTGGAAGAAAGAGAAAATATCTATCATTATGTGTATAGTAAACCATTAAACCTCACGATAATCTTTATCTTTACATCAATTTTTCGCTTTCTATCTTATTGAGTCTTTACATTTGAAATTTAATGAAGAAAGGGCGCATAGAGTATGAGAAGAAAAATAAGTAGATTTAATGAAAGTTCAACGTTACCTTATCAATCAGTAAACATCGGGCATACATTTTCGTATGTAATGAAGTTAAACAACAAAAGAATCCCAAGAGCAAAAAAAAGAAGAGAAAAACATAATGAAAAAAATGTCAAATGTGAAGCTCTTCACCTCACATCCTACGAAAATGGTCTATATTTTTCACAGACTTCCCGCAGATACTACATGGACTACTTTGAGAAGAATTGTATTTTAACGAGAGAAAAAAAATGGAAAAACCCCCCCAATTAAAGAGGAAAATAATCACAATTTTAATGATCTTTTTTCGTTGGTTCGGCAATAAAATCCCCTGACTGTGTAGTTACAACCACAACACGCGTCTAGAGATGTATAGATAAAATACAGTAAATGTATGATATCAAAAATAAATGTGGGAAATGACAAACATGTAATTATTATCTCATTTCTCCATCGGAGTAAATTTCAAAACGCCGTTTGTTCCCGGTTCCTCGAGGTAAATGTTTATATAGAGATACGTGAACGTGTGGAACGGGGTAGGAATGAGCTGGAACTGGAACTGGAAAGGCAATGAGGTGCCTTGGAAAAGAGGTGGGAGGATAAATGGAGGTGGACTATGGCACACAGCGATCGGTCTGTTACTCCGATTCGAGGCAGTCTCTCTTTCGTGCGGCCGACGATCGAGTGTATCTGTTGCGCCTCCAATTTGTTTATATCGTTCAGTATTTTTTCAATTCTCGCAATTAGTTTTTCTGCTATTTTTATGTGCTAGAACCCACTGGATTACGTGGACAAATCAAAAGTGACAAGTGAATTTTTTTTCCCGCCAATCGAGGCGGAAAACCCCGCGAGTATTTGAGTGTCAAGTGTTGGGGGGGAATAATCGTATTTTCACAGGTCAAAAGTGAATTATCGCTTGAGTGAGGGTCCCGTGGGGCCCCCGAAAGGATTTCACAACTGAGGACAGCGATTTGGAGCTTGAAAAATGGTGAATGTAAGTGAAAACTCACAGTAATAAAGTTGTTAATGGAAAATTCGTTGAAATTTTGTTGAGATGGTTTGATGCGCTCTTTCGATTTGCTAACCCGACCAACACATGGGTTACTAATTCAGGAAGGTTTTCTCTCATCGACCGAGGTCGAAACTTTCGTGTCACGCTCGGTGGAGACCCGCATTTTTTAAACTGTTATTCTCGCCTTTTTTTCCACACGCATGCCGGCCCAGAGACTTGCACCGCTCGATCGTAATTTCTCTTTGATGCTCGCTATATAACCATTATTTTTGTATATAATTTTTCAATTTTGTTAATAAGATGGTTACGCTCTTTAACTTCCAATTGGGGAAGAAAGAGAGTTGGCCAGGCTAATAGCAATTTCTTCTCTATTTTTAGTTATTAGTGAAAAGAAACGATACACTATTGGATAGAAATTGAAATTTTATGATAGTTTAGTCGTCATATTCAGGAGAGCGACATTGATTTCAGTTTAGGTGGAAAAAATCACGACAAAAACGTAAAATTTCCACTTTTACTGAAAATTAAATGGAATTCTAAATTTTCAAGCATCAAGTAGACGAAAATTTCCCGACTTACTTGAATTTTCAATAAAAATATGAATATTCAGTACCAAAGTATGCCGAATTTTTGACTGGAGATTCAAGAAACCAAATGGTTTACCGGATTTCTATCAATTTTCAAGGAATAATTGAATTTCAATTTACAGTTTCCATCAATTTTTAAATTTAATTTCAGTGAAACTATTGGTTGATAAAAGTTTCCCAGAAATGTACCGGCAATTTCAACCAAAAAATTTTAACAGTAGGGGAGGGTGGGGTAAAAGGACACTTTTGACGTTTTTTGAAATGCTCACGACGTGTTGAATTGTTCATGAAATAGAATAATTTCATTTTTCAAATGAACGAATAATTATTTCTCTTTGTGATAAGCTTAGACTGAGTTCAATCAATAAATTTGTTTCTTTACCCCACCCTCCCGTATATTATAAAACCTTTAACTTCCAATTCGGGGTGAATGAAAATTAAACAGACAAGTAGCAACTTCTTCTGGATTTTCCTCTATTAACGAAAAAAAGAGATTTTATCTTGAAAAAAAAATGGAAATTTCTTGGACAGTTTTGTTCATTATCTGGAGAGCGACATCGATCGCAGTTCATGGAGGAATAACAATGAGATTTCCAATTACACCGGAAATGGAATGAAATTCCAAATTTTTAGGCAGCAGGAAGACGAGATTTCCCCAACTTACTTGAATTATTAAGGATATCCATGAAGTTTGGACAATTTTTTCCGGAAATCCTCTTCGGAGTTTATAGAATAAACCAAGCGTATTTTTTGAGGCGCAATATGAACTTTAGTTTCCAAACATTTTACCGAGATTAAGATGTTTGAAAAAATGAAATTTCACACACTGCGTCCATAAGAGCTGTATATCCTAACTTCGATCCAATAGTTCATAGTTTTAACGCGTTTTCTCGTACATACAACCTGAAATGACTGTTCGTTATACTCTCTATTTTTTTTTTGCTACATTAAAGAACATAAGTTTCCCGATAGATAATTGCAAACAATCAAATTAAAAGCTTCTTCATTCATTGAAGAAATTCCCGAACACTGAGAGAAAAATCTGAAGTTCGATTTACAATAAGAAAATAGTTGAAGCAGTTTTGGTGAACGATACGATTTTTTTTTGTATGCGGCACATAACATTCTAGTAACTTCACAAGCGTAATTTTTGCAAATCAAAATGCAGTTAAACTAACCAAAGTTCAAAAGTAACCACGACAAATCTATCGTGAGTAGAACTATAAAACAGTTGCAATGACTACATTCCATTCTAGTAATTACTTCTCCGACCATAGTTACCGTAACCCATGAAAAATTGTTGAGGACTTTTTGACTATAATTCGATGGTGATGGAATATAGTCAGAAGAATCATATTTTTCTCTCAGTGAAAAAATGGATTCAAGCCACTTTATACCATGATTTCCGACAAAACAGAAATCTTGCTTGAAAAAAAGTTACGGACTTGAACGAAGTACTTGAATATCCTTAATCAAAACGTGAATATTCAGTTTCTGTTAATTTTTTCTCAATCAATTTTTATTTTCATTCAATTTTTTATGGTGAATTTTCACTGGCAAAGATTTTCAAGAAATATGCCGGAAATTTTAATAAAACCACCTTCCTAGGGCCATTATGCGCTTTTAATACGCAAAAAAATTCGTACTTTACTCTGAAATTCCTCGCCGGACATTTCAGTGAAAAATTGTAACAATATATTACAAAACTTCGATCACAACATCGTACTGAAACGCTCAAGTCTAAATTCTAAATTTCGATTTAGAATATCAGATTTGGGAGTTGTTGACACTCAGGGAAACATTCACTGATCTATGGAGAAATAAAAAATTGGCGTGTCGTGGGAGTTTAAGGCGTAGAGGCGTCGGAAGTAATCCATATGGGGCGAAGGAAGACATCACTATAGAAATCGATTGTGATACAATTCGCGAGGGCGTTTTGTGCCCCACGGTGATAATGGCACAGGTGGGCGACCTTTGTGAAAATTCTCTCTACACATCTGAAGAGGTCATGTACAAAGGCAACACACACCACTAGACCCCCTCACATTTTTGCATATTATTTACTTTCGTATTTCCGCCCACTGAATTGTACAATGTCATCGCACTACATCGGCCGTCTTATGTTGTAATATTCCACCAAAGGAAAAGTTCCCGAGTGCCAGCTTGATAAAGAGAAATATCGGTCATGAATTTCAATTCCACGATTTTCCAGTTTTTTATTCATTTTTATTACTTTTTATTTATGAAATTCCAGTGTTGGACGATGGGAAGAGTCGATTGGTCTCGAAAAACGGGGTCTCGTGTGTTGCCTCGTCTTCGCCTCGACCTCGAAACACACAAAATATATACGACCGACTCTTCCTCACGTGCTGGAGATGTATAAAAAGGGGACGTCAGCGAGACCGTGCGCTTACGAAAAATATATATATGAGAGAAAAAAGGACGAATTAATTTAGCAATTCTTTCGCTTAATTTTTTGCACACTGTAGAAAGTTTATTTTCCGGTGCGCGATAATCTCAATCGATTTCTGATCGAGCGCCAGGGGCGAATCGCTTTTTTCATTGGAATGTACGATGAGTACTGAGATAAAGTAGCGTGACAAGCCTGGGGACGCGATGGTATGGGGTTCAAGATCCTTCCGAGATCTTGGGAACCTCGTTGGCTGGTAGCTAGCGCTCGCCAGAGGCCATGGGTTCACGTGTTCCTCTGATCTATCCTCAATCCCTCCTGATTACTGTAAAATTACCTTTGCAAAAAAACGGAAAAAAATTATAGGACTCTAGTCAATCAGGTATTCCCCTTGTTTTTAAGGATATTCAAGTTCCTCTACCGGTTAGTGTACACCTCAGACTACACTGAGAGAAAAACAAACACGTTGTCAAACAAGTCTTGTTTGGGCCAACAGAATCGCTAGTTGAAAATTGCCAAAAAAGAATTTGGTTCGAATTTTGTTTCGCAAAATACGTATGGGAGTATCGAATACCGAAGGAGTAGTACTAGAAATGACATTCCTTGCATGTCCAGAAAATGCATTTTTTTTAAACTACTAAATGTATTTTTGCGACAAAAATTTTTTATTCCGGCGCACTCTCTGCATGTTTGGCGCAAAAAATGCTTTTTTGCTCATCTTCAAAAAACTATTTTCTTGGCACAAGTAAGACTTGCTTGAGAAGTTTGTCGTTTTTCTCTCTAAATTGGGTGGTGCCCCAGATGGTATGACTGTTGTGGTCTTTTACCTACCCGTCCCAGTACCTACGCGGTACCCCAGCCTAATTCCCTACCCGCACTTGCCTCTAAGCTAACTTATATGTAACTCCACATAACTAACTCCACATGCACTGGGTTCGTTTTCCGGCGATGAAAAAATCTTTCATCACCGGGACTCGAACCTGCGCTACTGGGACGCTTTGGTTTATAGGGCTAGCACGCTGACGACGAGCCCAAAGACGTCCTCCCGTTTTTCTCTCTATGCAGAGATTCAGAGATTTTCCATCATCAAATTTGTTAATTATATTGGATGAGAAAAATTTGGAGGAATTGATAGATATTCAGAATCATTCAAATAACATTTTGCAAAAAAATTGTGACTTCTGAGAATATTTCCTACTCATAAATAAGTAATTGGAAAATTTTTATTCTTTTGAACCCTTATTTTTCAAAATACAATCCATCCTCACGACATTTAGAAGGTGGACAAATTTATTACGACTTCCAAAAAATAATTTTTACACGGAGAGAAATATTCAATAAAAATTACGTATCTTTTCCGTAATTTCGGAGCGAAAAGTGGCTGTAAGAAATTTGACGGAACTGTAACGGAATTTTTACAGGGCATTCCGAAATTTTTACCTAAATTTCCTGTGAAAAATTACGATACTGTGACTTAAATTTTCTGAGTCGATTCCGTAATCGGTGAGCGAATTGTGAGTTCCGTAATTTTTACTGAACATTTCTCTCTGTGTATGTCATACGGTGGCAAAAGTATTATCTGGCGAATGTGATTATAATCCTCGCCTTCGGCTCGGATTATAAAGCCACATTTGCCAGATACTACTTTTATCGCCTGATGACATAATCTACTATTAGAATAGGAGATTGATTGTCGATGAAAGAAAGTATTATTGTGGTACTAGTGCGTAAAGTTTCACTTTTTCACACATGTGTAACACATCCTATTTTTTGTGGTATCTGCCGAGTTCACTATTCGGAACGGTAGTGGGGGTAATGTGACTGTTTTTGTGGGCGAGTGCGTAAAGTACAAGAGCGTGCGTTAGGTGAATTTCGAGTGCGTAAAGCGAGGCTTTAACAAGAGTCTACACGAAACGCGCATCATTCGTTTACGTCACGTTGTTAAGGTAATTCATATATCTATTTTATAGCATTGCCATGCAAAC